ACAGGACTTATGGGAGTTAATGTCGTATGGCGCATGCTCACTTCAACCGTTTAGGTTTCTTTATTGGAAACACTGGTGTGAATCGCTCTTCTTCTCCAAGCCCTCAAGAACAACAGACATCTTGTTATAAAAAAATCCAAAGTTCATGTGCTGGTGAATAATTTTGGCTTATTGTCCATCCATTGTGGGATTAATTTCATAAGCACGAAAATAAGAGTTCTGGTACATTTGTTAGGCTGTTTTGCCGGTGCTGTATTGCACGTTGTTGTAACTCTGTGAACCTCTCGTAGGGATTTTTATTGGACTTTGGATTTCTTGACTGCCTAAGTCTTAGAGAAAAGCACCATCATCGAGGAATGTCCTTACCTTTTTTGTGGTTATCGAAAACCGTACATGTGACAATTAGGTACACTGTTAGTTGGAGCTATAGAGGCTCATCCCTTTCAAGAAACTTCCATTCGTGACAGGCACTACTACAGAGTTAGAAATCAGCAACCTTGTCCAAGAAGGTGATCATTGGCGTACTCTAACCTCCACTCCAATAGAGTTCGGCTTACCTTCAAGTTTTTTTTCTACGCACACACCAATTAGAGCGTAACACCGAGCTAATTAGGTACTGAGTAAGACCCAACCATCATTATTTTATAAATTAAACTGTCGATAAACTTCAAGTCGCCAAATTTTTGTGATCTTTTGTATTGAAAGCTATTATTTTTTTTTTTTTAAAGCATAATTAAGTGTAGGTACTTAGGTACTATAGATACAATAGTATATTAAATTAATAGGAAGGTACCTATATTCCTGTTATTTTATTTTTCCCTGCAGGGGTTAAATTTGAGTATTTAATCGAATAGAGATTTTAATGAATTTTGGTTGTCTAATAATAGGCAAAGATAACGTTTGCTAAACATAAGAATTTACATTTTAGGTTTATTGTTATTTTCTAAAGAGGCTTCACCTCTTAATTAATTTCGAGTTTATAAGGGGTATAATCTCAGGCATTATATTTGAACTGATATATTGTTGTTATTTTATTAAACAAGGAAATAATTTATTTTTGCGTTTCATTGAGGTGTTTACCATATCCTAACAGAACCTTAAGATACGACCCTTAGAATCTCACTTCAGAATTTAGTAGGTTCCTTTTATATAGCTAGCCGGATCACCCCTACTAAATTGAGTTACAACCGAAAGGTTGGTTACAAGAGGAGGAAGAGACGAGCCTTAACCTAACTTTTTGTTATTTTTTTTGGAGTGACGGCACTACTGACTGCACTATCCAGACAGAACCTACTGAAAATTATATGCACTGACCAGACAGTGCCGACTAAAATCTATCAGCACTAGCACTGTCTACACAGTATCTATTAGCTAACTCAGCGTTTTCTGTAAATGTAAAGCTTATTCCATTTAGCAAAAAAGTTACCCTATATCTGTCGTTCAAAGCTATTTTTCGAATGATCGTTAAAAATTATTTGGCAGTCAGAATACGAGAAAACAGGAAGATGAAGGCGAAAAAACAAACGTATTTGTTAAAAATTTCAAATTCTAACGAACTTCCATCTGTTTACATTTCCAGAGCAGGACAGAACGAAAATAGACGTAGCACTATACCAAACGATAAGAACCGTGCTGTTGACCACGGTATCCTATTTGACATACCAAAAAGGATACCAAAGTCACGGTGACGTCATAATTTTCGTATCCGAAATTGGTTGGTATGCATTTGACAGACCAAACAGGGTACTAAACCATGTATCAAAGCTTGCCGAAATCGCCTAAATATCCCAAGTAACTCGGTTTTAGCTACGAACTTTGAAAAGAAATTGAAATAAATTAAAATTCATCAAATTAATCTCTAAACAAGTAGAAAAAACACACATTTATATGGAGGCAATGTTGGTGTACATTTCTGCCCACGTCGCCATCTTGAATTATTAGCTGATTCGAATCGCCTAAGGTTGAAGACACACTACAAGGTACAAAAGACAGATACAAAATAGGTACCAAAAAATCGAAATTTTGTATCGTGGCATGCCAAGTAAATTGTATTGTGTATCCATTTATTCTGGGCTATAGCATTGATACACGTGATATAATTGGTTTCGGTTTCGAGCACGTGATGCCACTAAATTGACACTGGAGGTAAGACAACCTAACCTTATCCCACTTGTTTATATGGAGTTGCGAGTCTCATGCGTTCTTCTTTTGATATTTTTTCGGTGTTTTAGTTATATTTTTGTTTGATTTGCTATTTATTAGTTTATAAAGACATTTATTTACGTTCATATTGTATATTCGGAGACATTGTTTTTACATCCTACAGCGGCACAATACGAGGGTATTTTAACCCCAGTCTACATACTATCCTAGGAAGTGAATTATATTTCAATAAGAAACAATTTTTCAAAGGATTAGGAGGGCTTGACGGCGAAATTTCAAAAATACACTAATGTTACCTCGGAATACCTCCAATGTATGGTCACGTGCGGCACGAAGGTATAGCTCTGTTCCAACCGACATGAGAAGCGTTCTAGAACGGTAATTTCCAGTCGATCAGTTTATCTGTCAAGTAAGATGAACGTTCAACTTATTGAAGAATAGATGGGCAACTGAAACGGTTTTCATGTCGGTTGGAACAGAGCTTATATATACACCGGCAAAATTAGCGAAACGGACAAAATTTACACAAGTTTAACATCAATTTTCTCTTGAACCCTCTGCTCGTAGCTGGTAGCTTGATTCTTCAGGAATACATTTGGCGTGTTACCGTTATTAAATGATTCGTCTTTATATCATATACAGGGATGTAAAGAAAGTCAGTAATTTTCAGAGTTCTTTGAGACACCCCTGTGAAGTGAACCACTGGAAATTCAGAACAGTTTTCAACACAAAATTGTGTCAATATCCTACCGATGTGGCGAGCTCTGTTGAAGGATAAATTGGAGAACTCCTAAGCCTGGTTCAAGTGTGAAGGGGGAGTTAAGTTTAGATAAATAACATTCCACCAAATGGAAACCATGAAAGGGACTCTCTGATCCCCCTGTATATTTGTGAGCATGCTTTTCACAATATAAATTGATCGATAAGACGTAAAACTTCGAGCAATATTTAACTTGAAGTAAACATTCACACACACGACTTTAAGTTGGCAAACGACACATTTTCATATCCAATTCGTATGTCGACGTGGAGAAAATTAAGGTCAATATCCACCTGTATTTTCAATAATATTGAAAATATCAGAGTGAATAAAAAATTAAAATGTTCGAAAAATATCAGGCAACGATTTGGTGTTGAAAACTGTTCTGAATTTCCAGTGGTTCACTCAGGGAGTCCCAAAAAACTCTGAAAACTACTGACTTTCTTTCCATCCCTGTATATGATATAAATATAAATAACGGTAAAACGTCAAATGTATTCCTGAAGAATGAAGCTATAATCTGTGAAAAATTTATCGAAATCGAGAGGAGGGTTCAAGAGAAAATTGATGTCAAACTAAGTGTGAAAAACTAAATTTCGTCTGTTCTCCTGATTTTGCCGGTGTGTGTATTTTCATCTCTTAATTGTACCTTGTATTTGTCATTGTGTCTTTAGTCTAATGATTGGTCTAATGACACAAAATTTAAAAAACAAACCAAAACAAACTGTGAAATTAGAGGTTATATTAGGTCTGTTTCTGCAGAAATCACAAAAGTCAGAGTGAATTTCATTGGTTGAAACTAGTTTTCTGACTGTTTTTAATCAATGAAATTCGCTCTGACTGGTTTGTGATTTTTGCAGAAACAGACCTAATATTTATCAGCAGACATTAGATAGTGCGACGTTGCCAAACTATAACTATCGTGATTTTTTAAAACTAAAATGACGTCAGGGGATAGATCCCTTCTCAAAACTACAAAAACTATTGTTGTTCAACTAAATGTACTAACAATTGAACTATTACACGTATTTTATAACTGGAATGCAAAAAATACAATAAAAAAATATTATGGTAAACTAGGGATAAAACCCAAGTTTCTGAATAAGGCAATCTTGGAAATCAACAATGGTAACGATAATCTGACAACGTTACATTATTTGATATCGTCATTGTCATTGTCATTTATTGTTGATAACAGTCTCATTTTTGATATTCATCAGGCCTATGATGTAAGTAGGTATAAACCATTTTTTGTTATTTTAATAGCAACTCTTTCTCAATAATCTGTCCCTGTTCATTGTATACGTCAAAATAGAGACAGGAATAGATGTTGAGCTACAACACAGAAGTTAAAATAACAGGAGAAGATAACACCATAGGCCTGATTTTCTCCTGACTGAGACTGACGACGTTGTTTCACTATACAAGGTAGGTACCTATATCTCATATTTGAACTTTTCCATTAGTAAGCATAATAGTAGAAAGGATATGACTTTTATACTTAGGTGTGGTCCGTCTGTATAGTGGGTTCCATTAATGAATAGCATTAATTCAGTTACCGTTAAATTTCATACACAGACAACTAATAGGTTTAAATTAAACACAATTATTGCTATCGAATCGGGCCCCATTATACAAAGCAAACAAATCGACTAAATCAAATTTATAGCCACGTATCAATACCCTATTAATAACAAAATCCCATGACCGACAGCCGACCAATCCCGTCCGTCGACCACTTAAAACATATTTAAGCCCAATTAGGCGAATGTTTACAAATAATTAACTTCCATAATACTATTTTCATAACTCGACTTCCATTATTTTAATCAACTCACCTCCGGTCCGACCCCTTTCGTTCATTGGTCAACTTTAACAGGTACCAGGCCGCCCCGCGTTTCCATTGGTCGGAATTGATTAAAAGTCAGGTAACACGATACCTGGTGAAAAGGAGATATACCAGTTGCTTACATAAAGTTACGGTGTTAAGTGTGCCGGTCTCGGTCGCTATTCTTTATAGCATTTGAGTTTGTGTTAAACTTTTGGTTTCCCTTTTTTTTCGTTTTTTTTTTTTGTTGGTTGGTTTAACATTTCAATTACGGCCCTGGGTGAGTGATTCAGTTTATCTATTATCTATAGGTTAGTGTTGGTTTAAGTGTACAGAAGTGTTATGGGTAGTGTCTTCTATTGAAAATGTCTGATGGTAATTAGTTGACCATATTGTCATTCATTATTATTGTTTGAGCCAATTTATTTAGGTATAATGCTGAATCAATTTGCAAAGTAGTTAAAAAACTAGTTAACACCTATATAGATATTATATCAAAATATCTCATCCGGTTTGCATGAATTCAAATCAGCTTATAGGACTGTCTTTGAAGAAATCTGGATAGAGCTTACAACACCGCAAAACTAATTATTTATTGATGGCTAGCAAAGCGACGGCAACTAATTATAACATCAACAACAACAATACGGATACTAGAATATTAAACTCACCACCATTTTTTAAGCTTGGCAACTATTTCCTATGTAAGACATTTCTTTGAGTTTTTTTTTTGTTGTTGTTTTTTGATTTTTATAATCTTTTTTATTTGTATTTTTTGTCTTTTATTTAACACTTTTCGGCTTGACTATGCTTTGTTAAGTGGCGAAACCGGTAGGTAAATACCCTTTACAATACTTATTGAATATGTTAGGGATATTATTAGCACATGTTTATTTACCCTTCAATTTCCCCTAAACTGAAGTATTGACATGGAAGACATTAAAGCAACTAACGAATTAGCTAAAAAATAATAACTAACTATAAAATTATTTAAATAATAACGTTGAAAAATAGGTAAAATCAAGCATAATACTTCTTCATAACATTGATTTGGCGACAGTAAATACTTATACACTTTATCTAGGACCGCTACTGTAAATAGTAGAAATCACACAGTTTTCCATCCATGTAGGTTTAACTTTTCGTAATGAGAATGTAATCACATGGGTGTGCGTATTTATCTGGTAGTTCAGCTACCAAAAAAAAACATATAGGTACCTATCCAGATCTGATTTGAAAGAACAGATTTCTTTGCAACGGAATTGAATGAAACGTTATAGAGTACGGTTCTGTTTAAAACTTTAATTTGACTCACTGTGTATTTACATACAGATATATTAGTCCAATCCGCCTTTATTACAAACGAGGCGGATAAAAGGGCTGTCAGAAGCAGATGACATAACTTATAAATGGAACTCAATTAGCACATTAAGCATGTCTAACTTATCATCAGTCCACTGCTGAACAAAATCCTTATTATCCTGAGTATTCCTGAGCAACTTATATCAAGTTTCCAGCCGTTCTCCCTAAAATGAGTTTGGGTTATAGTTTCCTATCCTAGCTATTTTTGAATACTAGGTCAGGTCCTGGACAATATAGATGCAACTCTATGATCTTCATCTACTCGCACGGTTTTACTTTAGTCACACAATGATCTCCTCATACCTGTATTTTGTCTTTGAGTTTCCCTCCTATCGTAGGAGATGAGATGTTGTAACGTGCCCTGATTGTCTTGTGTAATTTGTTTATCCAAATCTAATTTCTAAGTCTTTTCGCAGTCAATTTCCGTATAAACAGTTATATATACCTATCAGATCAAATTTGAATGAACAGATTTCTTTTGCAACACAATTGAATGAAACGTTATAGAGTACGGTTCTGTATAAAACTTTAATTTGGCTCACTGTGTATATACATAGATATATAAGTCCTACAAAAGAGGCGGAATAAAAGTACTGCCAGTTTGGGTTAGTTTCCTATCCTAGATATTTTTTAATATGTCTGTTCCTGGGCAATAGATCAACTCTATGATCTTCTTCATCTATCCGAAAAGTTTCACTTTAGTCACAGAATGATCTCCTCATACCTGGTTTCCTTCCTATCGTAGGAGATGAGATGTAATTTGCCTAAATTTCCTTGTGTAATTTTCTTTTCCAAAGTCTTTTCTTAGCCAATTTTCATGTGAACTTAGGTATATTTTCCCCTATTTCATACAAATAAACGAAAAGCTCATTTTTGATCACAAACCTACGGAAAGATGTAAGATGAGTAGATCAACTAGAACCCTCGGCGCCCAAGGTCAATCCAAATTTTAGCGAGAAGGTGTCTGGATATTCTGACGCCCTAGGCTTGAGTCTAGTTCACAACCTTTTAGTTCCGGCCCTGTCCTATACTCCTGTTCTGTTTAAGCTGCTTTATTATGTGTTCTCTATTCTAAAACTTCGGTAAGGCCTGGTCTTTCTAATGCAGATTTAAACAAAGAAAACCCCCTGATTTTTTTTTTTTAAATAGCCTTGTTTCCCTATCAAGTTCTCTACGTATTCTCACGTATTTCTTATATATTTCTCTTGAAACTTTGTTTCGATTATTTACTTAAATATTGTCCATATGTTAGGGACCGGAGCTGACCGATGCCACTTATGTGAGGATGCTGAACCGCTGACTCCAATGTAGTAATCTCGGATAATTTCTAGGCCTTGTAGCTATTATCCGGTATTTCAATTAAGTTAAAAGTAAAACTCGAAACTACTTGAAGGTTTAGTTTATTTTAACTTTGAACGAAACTGATTTTACATAAGTGCAACTGCTACAAACTGTTCGCTATCGATCTTACAAAGCGACTGCTAACTCCAATTCTAAAAACTAAAAAGTAACCTAAAGGACAACTAAATTCATAATTCTCAGGGCAATTCTCACCATTTGGAATAATGAATTAGGTCTGGGAAAACTACTCTATCTTTGGCGGCAAGAACACCCTCCATGGGTTATATTTATTTATGTGTATTTATAATAATTTGGGTTCCTGCAGTAGAGGTACCGAGTACCGACAAATGGAAACATCTTGTTGGGATATTGGTGTTTATAGGACATTGGTTGTATTAATAATTCCAGCCAGCACATCTTTGAAACCTAAATAAGCAATAAGTTATAAAATACCTAATTGATGAGGGACTTAACCGAACAGATGGTGGAATTTGTTAAAGAGAGGAAATGTAGTGAACATAATGAACATAATTGTTATTGATAAAATGATGAATTTACTGGTTCACGACAATACGAATGCTGTGAATTTTATTTAAATAGCCGTGACTCAGTTTGTTTTTTCATCAAGTAATTTCTACGTATCCCCACGTATTTCTTATACATTTTTCTGAAAGCTTGTCTGGATGATTTACTTAATTATATCGTCCATGTGATGAAGGTATGTTTCGGGGTTGATAATCTATGTACTGAGTAAATTTCAGGATCTGGGATTTTCCCATCTCAATATGTGTCAGGTAAAACCATGAAAACCTAATGTTTATTTCTGAATCTACAATAGTAAAACAAGTTATTCTTGGCAATACTTACATAGGGTCAATAAAATATCGCAAATGTTCACTGGTGTCTCATAAGTTCTGCTATTTTGCATTTGGCCTATAAAAGGTTGAAGTAGATTGGTTTTCTATTTGGTGAAACGTTCACTTTTTGAAAAATGTTCACGATGTCAGAGCTTCATTTTACTGATCTGCATCATGCATGAGTCTAGTTAGAGTAGTCAGTATACCTAATTACCTAAACTCTATACTTGTAGCCACACATAATTTAGAAAATTGCTTTATTATGTTTGATCGTCTTTGTTCAACATAGATTTTGCTTCAGAAAATTTCAAGTTTCCTCTGTCAAATTCAAATAGAAAATCAACTCATATCTTGTTGAGGGACGTTTTCAATCACCAAGGAATACGTTTAGAAAATCAGATAACAATAATAAGGGTGTCTGGAGCATCTATAAAAACACCATTTGCAGTAGCAAAGTTGAACAATCTTTGAGCAGTTCAAAAGTTTTAACATTCTCGAAACGTATGAGCCATTTCGTCTAGTCAAGTGAAAGCATTTCAGATAAGTAGTCTTTTCTCATCATTTCGCAATGTTTACCTATGCGCTGCTTATTTCCGCCAACTGAGGGGTTGATTAACAGCCAATATTAAAGCTTGGTATATACAGACTTGAACATTACGTAGAACAACGAACCGAAAGCTTCGTACAGACTGGAACATCAAGGCAAATGTACTGTCTGCCACCCCCATCAAGTTAAAATACGAATATGCATGGCTATTTCTAAAAACATGTTTTATAGTATTATGTGTTTGTACATAATATAGGTATACCTGACTTACAGAATATAAATGATAGAATATCAACATAAAAAAAATATTCACACTTGCCCGCAGCCGTCTGAGGGTTGATTAACAGCCAATGTTAAACCTTGGTACAGACTTGAACATTACGCAGAACAACGAACCGAAAGCTTCGTACTGACTTGAACATTAAGCTTCGTACAGACCTGAACATTAAGCTTCGCTTCGTAGGGACCTGTACATTACGCCGAACAACAAACCGAACGACGAATGAAACACTAATGTAGACGGGGTAACGAACGCGTTTGCAAACAGGTTCACAAATCCTGGCCGTTCGTAACCTCGTCCAAATTAGTGTTCGTTGTTCTGTTTGTTGTTCGGCGTAATGTTCAAGTCTGTACAAAGCTTTACGCCGAATAACAAACAGAACAACGAACCGACTACGAAAGTGTTTGCAAACCGGTTCGAAAAACGTGGATCCGGATCCCGAATCCACAACTCGATAGTATCGTCCATATAAATTACACAGACGATACTATCGAATCGTGGGTTCGGGATCCGGGCCCGGCGAACGGTTTACGGAGCTCCGATCACTTATCGGTTTTTTCTCCGACATCAGCTCTGTTCTCACAAGAGTCTGTGACAGTTTGTAACCTATCACAACGTATCGCCTACATGTTTCCAATGCCGTTGTTCCAAGATAAATCGGTAACTTGGCTCGAAGTCTATTCTTAAAACCGGGGAACATCCTTCTCATGAGAACTCTGTCTTTGTCAGTGTTTTGGAAATATAAATGAGGGTGACGAAGACAGAACCTCGGTTCTCATGAGAAAGCTACTCCCCTGTCTCGAGAATATAGGGACCTGAGCGATTGTTTCTGCTAGTTCGCAAATCTTCAAGAGACTCTTGTGAGAACAGACCTGTCGGAAATGCGCCCGAAT